AATTCAAACTAACACCGACATAACCTTTTCTCTAAGATACACAATATAAATTAGTTAAAACTGCTTGCATGGAAATGTACTTCGATTAATAATGGTTGTCGATACGGTGCAAATATACTAAGAAAATTAGTAATAGTGAGTTCGATCCTTACTGGTTCCTGCTGAAAGAATATTGGACAGTTTTTATCATATGGAAATATTTATATGCAAATAACATGTCACACATGCCAAGACAGACAAACGCGCACATCAGCATACACTTTTTGCAATAGATATATTGATAGGGAATAATTCATCTGAAAAAAAAAAGAAAACGCACAAAAAAAATAAAACAAAGGTATTCGAATGAGTAAAAATATCAGACAGGTATGTATCATGCGGTATACACACTTATGCGTCCATCACTGACGAGGCAGATTTTTTTCCCGCAGTCGGTTGCCATTTCTTTCTGCGGTAGAGCAGACCAGATGACACCAACGGTCCTTGATTAGTTCGCGAAATTTCAACCACACAATATATAACCTTAGTTTTTTTCGGTTCACATTTCTAAAAATTTTTACTTTCAGATGAACACAACAATTTTGTCTTAATAAAAGACAAACGCCCCGATCATGACATTGTATCAACATGATAATTTACTTTCTTTCCTTAGTAAGATTACGAAGAAATCTGTCCGTGAATATGAGAGGATCCTATTGCAAATAAGTAGTCAAATATAAAAACATGTACATACGCTATATATATATATTTAATTAATTCATCGAGTCTGATAGAGACCTCTATAGAATGTAGGAAGCACTGGACGGCCGTTTCGTCCTATATTTGGGATTCATCAGCAGTGCGCATCCACTACCGAGTATCGAACCCTGACAGTTGGGTTATCAAGCGAACACCATACCAACTGTTCCAAATGGGCATCGGTGGCGAAGAGATTCCAAATCAGACTGAACTAAGCGCCGCTCGCTCACATATTCTGTGGCGGAACTCAACTGAGTTCTCTGTGACCATAGGACTGTGCCCCCGGGAGCCACGACTACTCTCACCAAGCCGCTACCAACTGGAGCATTAGAAGCCAGTTCAAGCGAAGATAAACACAGATAGTAATTAAGTTGGTATGGTGTTCGCTTCTCAACCCAACTGTCAGGGTTCGATACTCGGTAGTGGATGCGCACTGCTGATGAGTCCCAAATATAGGACGAAACGGCTGTCCAGTGCTTCCTGCATTCTGTAGAGGTTTCTATCAGACTCGATTAATTAATTAAATATCATTATCAAATCCTCCTACTAATTATATATATATATATATATATATATATACAGTGTAACCCGATATAAGAGACTTATATAAGAGAAACCCGGATATAAGAGATTTTTTCTGGTCCCAAATTAGAGCCTGTGTTAATGTATAAAAATAGACCAAACCTGGATATAGAAACCTGATATAAGAGACTTTTTCTCCGGTCCTGACAACTCTCTTATATCCGGGTTAATAATGTATATATATATATATATATATATATATATATATATATATATCTTCTAAAGAATTAATTGATGTACAATACTGTTAGTGGGTACCTGTATTTGAAATAGACGGCCGTATGATGAGCGCGCACATTCACCTTATTTTATTGATATTAATTTGAATAATTACGGACGTTTTGAATATGTGAATAGTTAATGGAAGAATTATTACCTACAAGAAGGTATCCATTTGGCTTAAATTTAATCATAAAATCTACGCGGAGGAGAATACGTGTCTGAATAATACGTAGAACAGTAATAAATAGCTTAATGAACTCTTGTAATCAAACAGATCTTCCTGATCTCAGATTATTACATTCGAGTGTATACCAACTATTTACCAAAGATCATGGATTATCAATATATTTTCAGAGATTGCTCTACTATTGTTCCTCTGTACGGGACTCTATAAAGCCGTGTCCAATTACCTACCGTAGAGATAGTTTTGCATATAGGGTGCAGACCGTACGCTAGAGCCTGGTACCCCGCCAAAATAAATAAATAAATAAATAAAACTATGATACGATGCCTCCCTCTCGACTACATGTTGATTTCAAGGTTTCCCAGCCGTGGGACCAGAAACCCTCGAAGAAAGATTTAGGTGAAGAACAGCGCTTTTTTCAAATTTCCAAAATTCAGGGAATTATCCAATGAAAATATTTGTACATATTATTTACTTTTATAATAAATAGTTTGTTTTTTTTTGTTTTTTTTTATTTTAAACAAATCTGACAAAATGTTTCTTTTTTGTTTCTTTTTTGTAATAAGCACCAATATTTTTCAAGACTAAATTTTACTCGAGAAAAATGTTTCAGTCTCATTACATCTTTATGGAAATGTTTTACATGTCAATAAAGAACAATCGCTGACGCATCTCTGTTGAAAAACAAAGTTTTACAAAGACTCCAACACAACACAAAAGAGATTGACTTAAACAATTTGTTTTAAAAACAGAATTTCAGTTTTCGGGAAAATTTTTCACGTGTTGAAATTTTTAAACATTTTTATTTTTTAAGCGATCATTTTCTAGGTTTTAGATTTCTAGAAATGTAAATCATAGGGACTAGAAATTTTATTTGAATTACTAGCCGTAGAATTATGGTTAGTATTACTATTAGTAAAAAAATCAGAGATCCTCCTTAGTGGATGATCTAGGAATAAAAAAAAATGATTTTATCGAGATATACTACCCTCTTAATTGATTTAAAAGTAATGTTCAGAAAGAAAATTTAAATTTAAAATGTAAGTGCTACTGAAATTAGCATTTCTGTACCCCCTCCCCAGTAAGCATAGGGCCCCCGCGCGGCTGAGAGGTTCGGGGTAGTAAGAACTGGCCCTGTAAATTATTATAGTTGATGAGCTATATCTATAAAACAGAAGATGTGCGTCTATCTCTATGTGCGTGTGTATGCTATTTATGCACGTTCACATTTCTCGACTGATTTCAATAAAATTGTGCATAAATGTTGATAATTTACCAAAATTGATCAAGACCATCTTTTCAGTTTCAATTCCACACACCAGGTTTGGTAGAAAAATCGATAAAACTGAAGGTGGGTAAGATTGAAGCGTTAAACGGTAAAAAAAAAAAAAAAAAAACTCTTATTAACCCCAGCTTACAGTAGACGTGATAAAAAGAAAGAGGCGTTCGTGCGTTTGCACTTGCAGTTGAATCAAGTTTTGACGCTTCATCCTTGTTTTTGTTTGATTATTAGATTTGTGTACAGTGCCATACTATTTGAAAGTTATTACGGCCATAGGAAATTTACTGAATATCTAAAACATTGAAACAATTTAATACCGAGCAGCGGCCACAGAAAAAGGTTTTATCGACCTTTATCAAGAACAATCAAACACTTGCGAAGAACATACCATAAATAAGATGAGGTGTATCTTAGTATAACAACGGATGATGCATGCAAGCGGGGGCGCAGGAAGACATTTCTAGACAGGGGATGAGGGTAGACAGGGGGTGCGGTTATATAATTGCAGCCATGTACGCCTGGGCAACGCCTGGGCAACGCCTGGACAACGCCTGGACAACGCCTGGTGCCTCAATTAGTTGACAATATAACTTAGGTAGAAGAAAATAAAAAGTACAAAAAGGATAAAATTTTCGCTTTCCAACTTCGTCGGGTGTTCCGTCGCAGTACGCACTACACCGGCCATGCAGATACAAGATATATATTATTAGTTTATAACTTACAATTTAACGTCAGTTTAAAATAATAAAAAAGAGGCGAATGTCCATTAAACAGTGCTGAAAAAATGCCTGAGGCCACAAAGGGGCCCCCAAAACGCTTCCTTCCCGGTTAGGGGTTTCCGAAATAAGATTGGGTGAATACGATTTTACATAGTCGCCCTACTGTTTTTGCCAGCACCCGGAATAAACTAAGCTTAAAGAATGTCTACACAAATAGGCAAAGACACGACTTCAATTTCCCATCAAGAAATCTACACACGGATATAAATGCTTAGAAGCGCAGACAGAACTGAGAATAGTCATAAAATGACGCATGCGCTTTTCTGGTGTTACATATTCGTACGTAAACAAACACGGAACGGCACACAAATAAACAGGAAACTTCGATTGGGGCCATCTCCTGTTGATCCAGAAGTCATTCGAAGCGGGTTGTCTGCGATAAATCTTAGGTGTTATTGTTAACTTCTAACTCCCATTGGCCAATTTATTGTCTGAATTTTGCTGAAGGAAGCGGGAAATAGGTGGAAGTTTACAAACAAGAGAAGAAAATAAAATTAAGAAAAAAAAAATGGGCGAGGAATGGGAAAGATGAGAAAAGCAAGAAATAAGAAAGTATCAGATTGAGGAATGTATGGATACGAATAAATAGGAAAGAGCAGGGAAGGAAAAGAAAGATAATTAAAAGGATAGTGTTTGGAAGAGTGGAAAAATACCGGAAAAGTTAAATTAAAAAAAAGGTAAAGGTTAAAATGCTATAGGAAGAATAATGGACAGTAAAAGAAATAGAAGGAGAAAAAATAAAATGTAATCGGTGAAAAAATAGTGAAATTTACAAATGAAAGAAGATAATTTATGATAAGAAACTATGGAAAGATAAAAGCATGATTGAAAAGCCAGAAAAATACGGAAAGAAGAAATCACAGTGACATAGGAAAGCATAGATGAAGCAAAGATATTGGGAGACAATAGCAGTGAATGAAGTTGTTAGTAAGAAAGTTTCAAGGAAGAAATCACGGCAACGAAGCTGTATAAAATAACGATAAAGCATAACAGAATAGAAACATATATATATATATATATATATATATATATATATATATATATACATATATATATATATATATATATATATATATATATATATATATATATATATATATATATATATATATATCAACATCGTGACGCAGGGAGTAGGAAAGACTGAAAGTAAGAAAAATAGCGTTCTATGTAAGAGAAATAGTCAGGTTTTAAGAATATTAATTCTTAATATCTAAGAAGCTGAAAAAGGAAGGAATGAGCAAAAAAATCGAAAAGACGAGAATGAAAGGTAGAACAGAATCGCCTCCAGGAAAGACGAAAATAGATAAAAAAAGAAGAAAATAGACAGAATAAAAGATTGAATAAAAGTGAGGAAAGAACAGGCTGCAATGAGTGACAGCGTCCGAATAAGAAAGAGAATAGAAAGAAAGAGAGATGGGGGAGAGAAAGAAAAAAACAATTTATAGAAAAAAGGAAAGAAAAAGAAAGAAATACTTGGGAAAGTATTTAAAGGCGTAGCACTATGATAAAGAAATATAAAAATCTACAAGAGAGAATTTATACAGAATAATCTAAGGGAGATTACAAAAGATGACGGTTTAAAAATACATTGAAAATAAAATGAAGATGAAAAATCAAGAAAAGAATAAATAGATGACAGTAAAAGAGAGAAACTTGTAAAACGAAAGATGTAATCTCGAGATTAAAGGAGATAGAAACAATGTGAAAGAGAAATACGTTAGAATGGAATCGAAATAGAACGTTTACAGAAAGAAAGAAAGAAAGAAAGAAAGAAAGAAAGAAAGAAAGAAAGAAAGAAGGATAGAACAAAGTTGAGAAAGGGTGGGGAAAGATACTTGATAGAAAGAAAGGGAAAAAGAAAGTTGATAGAAAGGTAGGGCAAAAGAATGTTAATAGAAAAGAAGGACAAAAGAAAGTTGGTGGAAAGGAAAGGAAAAAAGAAAGTTTCTGGAAAGGAAGGGAAAGGAAAGTTGCTGGAATAGAAGAGAAAAAGAAAATTGCTAGAAAAGAAGAGAAAAAGAAAGTTTCTGGAAAGAAAGGGAAAAAGAAAGTTGCTGGAAGGGGAGGGGAAAAGAAAGTTGCTGGAAAGGAAGAGAAAAAGAAAGTTGCTGGAAGGGGAGGGGGAAAAGAAAGTTGCTGGAAAGGAAGAGAAAAAGAAAGTTGCTGGAAAGGAAGAGAAAAAGAAATTTGCTGGAAGGGGAGTGGAAAAGAAAGTTGTTGGAAGGGAAGGAATAAAGAAAGTTGCTGGAAGGGGAGGGGAAACAAGATTGATGCAAAGAAAGGGAAAAGAATTTTGTAAGGGAAACAGAAAGTTGTTAGAAATAAAAGAAAAAAGAACATTGAAAGAAAAAAGGAAAGAAAAGAAAGTGAAAATGACAATAGATAGAAAGGAAACGAGAAATTTGATAGAAAGTAACGATTAAGAACAAATCATGAACGAGAATTTGTATTAGAAAAACATTGAACAATGTCTCATGTAAGAAACTGTAACAGAGTGCATAAAAGAAATGAAGAAGCAAAAGAAAACATCTAAAACAGAATAAACAAGGAGGAGATATATGAAGAAAAGAAAGAGAAGAAGAAAATTGCAAATTGAAAGGGACAAATCGGTTAGCAACGGCACATTGGCTTGAAGACAATATTAAGACATGAACTAAAAGCAGAGAGTGGGGTGGGTGGGAATGGTCGATGAAAAAATAAACCAAAAAACCAAATTTGATCTAAGACCAACGGCCACAGCAGGTACTCGGAGGTGCCCTTGTTTGACCTCAATTAGGGATAGTTTTTTATTTGTTTGCTACAAAATTAATAGACGCTATCTCAATGGCCGATGCAAGGATAATGGTTGTTAGCGAGTTTGTGACTAAGAACGTGTGAGTGATTGTTAGCTTTAACGGGTGTGTATCTAAGCGTTTATCGGCTTTTGTATATCTCTATGCAAGACTTCTTTTTTTTTTCTATATTTTGATTTTCGACGCTCTTCGTGTTGTGCACTGCGTGTATACATATACATCACTTGACGAATGTAAGTACTCGTATGCATATTCAAACGAGTGAATTGCGATGCTCCAAACTGAGATATAACCATAGAATATAACTGAGTATTACATGGTATCACAATGTCCGTATGGTTATCTTCATTTCAGTGTGATATTTTGTTGGATAAAATAAATCCAAAAATAATATGCTCAAGGAAGAATACGTCTGCCAAAATAAATTTTTTTGAATAGTTAAAGAAATACTAAGAAACAAACTGACAAATCGGGAGGAAAAGAGAGTGAGGCAAAATTCGGGGGTGAATCAATAATTTGGTAACCTTACATAAACCTTAAATTTGATCTATAATTTCCTATATATATATATATGTAAGCAAATGTAAATGGATATAGATCCGACAGAATGAAGAAAAATTTTGGAAAAAAAACAAAAAAATTTATTAATGTATTATATTTAAAATGAATGAATTATGAAAAATATTTCATTCATTTTAAAACAAATATAATTGCATTTAATGATTTTTGTTTGATTTTTCCAAAATTTTCTTCATATATATATATATATATATATACTTATTAGAAATCTTATAGTATAAAAACTATATATAACTCGTAAAACCTTCGGTATATTGATTTGTAAATAAACAAGCCAATACCAAAAGGAAAAAATAGGTATATAAAAAAAGAAAGAACCAAGAACATGTACGTTAACCGAAAATAATCGCCCAGCATACGAGTTCAAGACCGAAAGAAAAAAAAAATCAATGCTAGTATCCAAGATAACTAAATAAAGTGCTCAATACAATGAGTAGAGCAGACCTAGTTAAACAGAGAGAGCCAGACAAACCTACCAAGGTTTCACCTAAGCGGATCCTGACGAAACCTTCGGAGGTTTGTCTGGCTCTGAAAGTTTAACTAATATATATATATATATATATATATATATATATATATATATATATATATATATATATATAGATAGATAGATAGGAAATCCAGTTGATAATCCAAGTGAATCCTACTAATGTAAAATAAAATATTAAAACTGATTCACTGATTTTATCAAACAAAGCATATAAATTATAAACAAAAGGATTACTCCGTAATATTGATGAGGATCATTTCACCTTGTAAATTAAAATTAAATTACAAGGATTTTCAAAACCATCAGGTTAACAATAATTATGAAAATAAATTGTCTGTTGTGATTTTTCTTGTTAACCTCATAGATTTGAAAATCCTTGTAATTTAATTTAATTTACAAGGTGAAATGATCATCAACAATATTATGGAGTAATCTAATTCCCATTGTTTATATATATATATATATATATATATATATATATATATATATATATATATATGTATGTATGTATGTATGTATGTATGTGCGTGTGTTCCATCTATGGAAATAGTATTCAAAACTAAATTAAGTGCAAATTATAAATATATATGTGCAGCAAATATTATTTTCTAAGAAATTTTAATACCATGTCCCTTTAGGACGTGAGTTATAACGTCTCAGATTCCTTATTATCTATGAAGTGCCATTACCTATTGGGAAATATAGTGGAGTGTAATACTGTCACCTACGACATACAGGGTGCTATGGATAAATATAAAAGTGCACAAACATATCTTGAAATACTAAAGAATAAATTCATTTAATAAAATTGTCATTAGTTTCGACCATGGCCTCCAGACGGTTTGGGAATTCCTGCATTTTCTGGACAATCTTGTTTTTTAAGTTGTTGATTGTCTTCAATTCATCTTTGATGTTACAAGAAGTTTTCTTGGTCTCCCGTTCAACAGCGCCCTACAAATAATTATGTAGGGGTTGCAGTCTGGAAAGTTAGGTGGCCAGATGTAAGGGGTGATGTGGTTGCAGAAATTGTCTGACAGACATGACTTAGTAATCTTCCTTGTTCGGCACGGTGAAGAGTCCTGTTGCCAGACATAGGGTCTTCAAGCAGCTACCCTCTGGGCTCAGGGTAACACTATCTCTAAGGTCTTGTGGGAAGATGAATAGATGCATAGCGTCGCCATCACTACTGATCACTCCAAACACCTTCGTAATCACCATTAGACACATCCAACTCTTTCTGAATCCGTTACACTGTCCTCAGTTTGACACCCAATTACTGTTAAATTTTCGTATTAAAGATGCTGGCGCAAATGCAATGCAGTACAGCATGCCGTCTCCAAATTTCTGGCTGAGTGAATTGCGTCATGTTGCTCTTTTTCTCACAGGTGGTGCCCAAATGAGCCCACTATAGAATGTTATGAACAAAATTAAAAAAAACGAACAACACACATGCCCGAAATTAAAAATATAAATGCGTCAAACCCTGTTGTTTTGAACTCGAAATATTCATTATCCTAGACCGGCTATCTGTTACTTAATCCAGGATTGTGTGTAAGAAGAAAGTGATTCTTGTATTTCAAAGACGAGGTCGAAATTTTAACTCAGCTCGCCGACTCCACTATTTTACACACTACAGCCACATCCAGTTTCCATCATTAAGCAACTAACATGAATTATTTTATGTATAAAATTATTTTTCCACATGAATTAATTTGTCTCGGTAAAAATCTATATATTAATGTGTATAAAATTTAAACTGACATCAAGATTTATATTAAAACTAATAAACTAAAACTGCATATATATATATATATATATATATATATATATATATATATATATATATATATATATATAAATGGAAAATGGATCCGTTGTTATATACTCCAAGTGGATTCTAGTAATATAAAATATTAAAATTGATCCACAAAAAAGATGTATTTATTATTACAGAGAAAATAATTAATACTCTATAAAATCAAAATCACCACATATGAAGCGATTTTGATTTTATTATTATATATATATATATATATATATATATATATATATATATATATATATATATATATATATATATATATATATATATATATATATATATATATATATATATCGATCGAGACTCTTCGCAGATGCGAATTGAGTCATTGTCGGTCACTGAGCGTGTTTCTAAAAGTAAATACGCTAAAAAAAATCCACGGTTTAATGTTTAGAATCTCCGACTGACACCAATTCAGTCGGGTTTCGATCCTAACTAGAGGCAACCGGATGTCTAGCCACACTGATGAGCTGCAAAAACAGTCTGTCTGTGGATGACGTTATATATATATATATATATATATATATATATATATATATATATATATATATATATATATATATATATATATCTTAAAGCAAAGGAATGCCACCACTAGTATGCAGGGGTTACGGAGAGTGAAGCTGAGAGAAAGACTGGATATAGGAGAATTAAGGAAAGGATAAAAGATGAACGGGATTCAAGAATACAGAAGATGGCGATTGACATTGCATTTAAATATTTGAAGACTGTAGTTTACATGAAAGCAAGCAAACGGAATGGAGTTCTAGAAAGTACGATAAAAGAAATTGTTGGAGTAGAAGTGGCGGTTGCATTTAAATATTTCGTGATTGAAAGGGTGGAGCATAGATGCCAATCTAGTGGCACGCTTAAATTCATGTATACGGAGCAACCATGGATAAAAGCTTGTCAGAGCAGTTCCTATGCAAATATATATTGAAAAAGACAGAGAAACTCACACCCCTTCTGTGAGAAAGTGACTGAAGTCGAGATGCCAAGCCAGGATCCATTACATTGCAGATCCTTCTTTGGATTTTATCAAGAACTTCAAGATGAATAGCAGGAGCAAAATACCGGATATGGCAACAGTATTCAATGCACGGTCAAATGGTAGATTTGGATATGTACAAGATGGATCACTGACGAGAAAAACCTTCCTTCGAGTAGATGCACCTATTGATTGAATTGGTCAGTGTGTGTGTGTGTGTGCGTGTGTGTGTAATATTATTTTATATATATATGCAGAAGTATTACTTAAATGTAATTGTCCATATCAATCTTGTTGTTATGGAAAATGATGTTAGTGGCCATACAAGAAGGACTGATATGAACAATTACAGTTAAGTAATTCTTCAGTATATAAAAAATGCTCTATTTTTAATATTGAACAATATATGAAAATATCTGCTCCATTTTTAATTCTTAAATTATATATATATATATATATATATATATATATATATATATATATATATATACCCAAGTATATGATTGGTAGATACGGAATGGATTCCAATAACCAACAAATACTATTCTTAAAAGAGTGCTCAATACAAAGTAGAGCAGATAGCAGAGGGTTGAAACAAAATGGCTATTTTTGTAGTGATTTTATAACATATTTATGTTATAAATGTTTTTAAATAAAGAACTATATATA